ACGATGATTTATGACAATTATTCACATCGGTCTATATGAATCATGTGATTTTCATATAGACCGATGAAAATAACCTTGTCAAAAAAGCACGGGTTGTGACATAGTACCCATGGGATAAAATATTTGATATTGTTTTACTTTATTCATAGTTATATAAATTATCGATTTTAATTCGACACAAATTAATCATTGGATTTTATCGTTATGCGTTTCAAACTTAAATTTTAGTCTGATGCAATTCGAAAAAGAATCAAAAAAACTAGCCAATCATTATTCAAGCTTGCTATAGTTGTTCAACCAATTTTCAGGTTATAGGCTCATCGTCTAATTGAATGATGTGAATCAATTGCCCAGGTAACTGATTTATACACTTTAAAAATACATTTTGATAACCTCACTTTACGTGTATCTATCTATAAATACATGTAATGAATTTTTTTGTGTGTACTTATTAGTTTATAGACTTCTCGATATGAAAATTTCTACATACTTAGTAGTATTAAAGCGATGAATAATTTGATTGGTTAATTACTACAGGGCATCACGGGAAGACCCGGATAATTATTTATAATGTGGGAGGAAATAAAATCATGAAATTTACCTCAAAAATTTATAGATTTTATACCCACTTTTATACATACTATATATCAAAATCTTAAAATTTATCCAAACTTTTATATACCAGATTAGCAAACATACCATTCCTGATGGATCGTACTGTTCTGATGAGGCAGGAAAAAAATCGATTTACTTACTGTTCTTGATAGATTTCTAAAAAAGGGCTTCTAAATACTATCCTAATACTATATCGAAATATATGAAATAAAGTTAGGATTAGGATTCGCTTTTAGTATTCTCTAAGTAACAATACTCCAATAAATTTTTTTTCACTCCACCAAGATCGGTACTGCTGATCCATCAGGGATAGTAATTTTGCACCAGATTAGGTCGCACAAAAATTTTTTTGTTTCTCATAACTAATAAAAAGAATCCACCAGGGCGACCACGAATTTCTCATGTCACGTGATAAACAACAAAACATCCTAAAATTCGCTAACGTGGCCCGAAAAATTCGTGGTCGCTCTGGTGAATTCGAAAAGAAAATCGCCACCCGGGGTCACTGACGGGCGGGCCGTAAGTCGCCCGGGTGGTAACCGGGTCAAATACAAAAAGTTATCCACCGGGTCACCCAACAGGTGAGCTATTAATCACCCGAGCGAAAGCTGAACTGAAAACGGTTCTTTCTAATGATCCTATAAAATTGATACTAATTTTATAAAATAGAGCTTCTATAGATATAGGTTGTAATAGTCTATGAATTTTATATTTTCTATACTTTTGACATTGATCATAGATCTTAACATAGTCACAAATATGCTCATATATTTGAAACCAATAATAATGATTATAAATTTTTTGAATATCTTTTCTACTCCCAAATAGGCTCTAAAGAATAATTATATACTAGGAAATCAGGATCTGATAAACGTCCGAAGCAAATACTGTACTATATTATTTCTGAAATACAAAACTATCTTGTATGGTATATACTTGATATGCAATTGTTACACATGATTTGCAGATCTTCACGGGATCTCGAATTGCTCAAATTTTATTGGTTGTTTCGCCCGGACATTGCATAGACGTGCATGAAGTTTGCTTGTACCGTAATCGTCCTCGCTACGCTTCGGACAATAAAATACAATAGCAGAGCTACTTCATTCTATATTATTATTTACAATAATTAATTTTTTATTCACTTTCATTGATCTCTTTTATAAAACAGTTGATTATAAACAACAAAAATTTATTTTGCAATGTTTTTTTTGTAAGAAATCAAACAATGTCAAATATTGAGCTATTTTTAAAAAAGGTTTATATTGCTATATATAATATAATTTATTTCTTGACTCTGTAATTAACTATTAAACTAATAATAATAATAATAATAATAAACTAATAAATAGAAGTATTGAGTATAAATATAATAGTTATGTTTTCTTCTTTTGGCAAATTATTATTTTGTATAGTAGCAGTAACCAACTTGCAAAATTTAGTGTCATTTGTAAATGATTCTTTATAGATGATTAACACAAACTAGTGGGATTGAAAACCTTTCACCAAATAGAATTGCAGAGATATGTATCTTTTAAATTATTATATTCATTTAGCTGTTGTATTATAAGGGTGTGCAATAGATTTAACTACCATAAAATATTCATCAAATCTCTCAATATATTGATATTCTAAATCTTGTATTTGAACAGAAATCTTATCAGAATAGTGGGGCTGAAATTCTGAAATTATTTTTGATGACTTAGTGATTATACTGATATTATCTTCTGGATTACTATTGTTGTCATCTAGTGTAGGCCAATAATACTTTAAAATTTTATCAATAGAATAATGTTTTATTGTAACCTATAGCTTGAGATCACAATAACATTTGATGTATTCATCGGATGGTGAGTATAATCGATCACTACATCAACATTATATCGTAGGGCCCTTCCAATTGCAGGATAAATGTTTGTCCTTTGTTCTCTGGCCTAGTCAACTACTGATATGCTCAATATAATATCAGGTGCAAGATTGGTTATCATATTTGATTACATTTTTAATAAATTCAACAACTTGATATGGCCAAATTCCTTCAACAATATGTAAAGGTGGTTCAGGCTTCAATGTTCATACTACCTCTTGACAATCTTTATCCACTCGATCATCATTTAGATCCTCTATTTTGACTTGATATACTTGTGCACCAACTTCCCCCTAGGTACTAGGTAACCGTGATAAAGCATCAGTGTTGCTATGCTTCTTACCTGGCCGATGAATAATGGTGAAATTATATGTTTCAATTTAAGGATCCATCATCATGGAACTGATTTTACTCATTTTTATAATACGTTAATGTTCTCTTTCTTCACGAACTTTCAAATTAACGCTATTAAATCAAAAATTAATGACCTCACCTGTTGGAATGAAAATATTAAGCAGGAAATCTATGGTTCTTTCAATACAAGATATAACCCGAATAATCTAAATAAAGAAGAACCATGCGTTTTCACTATAGATCAATCGAAAAGTTATCGGCTAAAATTGACAATAAACGAATAAAAAGGCTATTTGACCCCCTAAAACTAGAGATGGGCACGCGCGGGATCCGCGCGTGATCCCGCGCAGAATCACGCGCGGGATTTTTTTTTAGATCCCGCGCGGGATTTTTAATATGATCCCAAAATAAAATTATCTGGGCCAGAATTACATATCATCTGG